AAGGCAGTCGCTTAACCAACTGAGCCACCCAGGCGCCCTTTTCCCCACTTTTTTAAAGAACAGGTACCGGGTATGTCCTCGTGACCCCAAGCGCGATAGCAGGAAAGGTACACGGGGATGCCTTCCTCCCAGTCCCGCCCCAGCCGCCCGCTCCTCTGGGAGGGGCGCCGGGTCGCTGGAGGGAGCAGACACGCCCGTGCACGCTCCACGCCGTCTGCCTGCACCAGCCCCGGTCAGCTCCTCCGTGAGGGCGCACACTCGTCTCTGCGGGCCACGCGGCCTCTGCCGAGACGCTGCAGCGGCACCGCGGGGCCCAGGGAAGATGCACAACGAGCACGGCGGTCCGGAAATCCGCAGGCGCCCGAACGAGGGGCTGCCGGAGTCGTCCCCGGCCACGGTCTGCAGCCCGGCTCGCACAGCAGCACACGGCCAGACACTGCGGCCTGCTGCTCCCGTCACTCGCTCGATGCGGGGGAGGGCCAGCCATCACCCCGCAGACAAGCCCACCACCAGCCTCTGTCCTGCTTGCCCCGCGGGACCGCATTTACCTAATGGTCCCAGGCCCCATGGGCACAGACCCTCCCCTGCGGCCCCTCCGACGACTGCACAGCTGAGTGGTGCTCAGGGCGGGTGCCCGCCTCCCCGTTTCAACGCCCAGCGGGTCTGAGGCCACCCCCTTCAGTGTCCTCTGAAAGAACAGCAGGGCCCAGGGCCAGCCAGAAGCTCTGCCCAACCTTGTCCCTGAGAGCAGAGGTGACGGGCCCACGGTGTGCACCCTGGGCCCAGAAGCCCAGCAGGACTGACCCCCACCCTTCCCAGCACCAACAACCTGCTGCTCGGGGCTCACCGGTGGGAGAGAAGCGAAGCGACGTCACCCTGATTTCAGGCTTGAAGTGCCGAGAGCTCATGTCACCTGGAAAACAGGGCAGCACCTCCCTTACCACTCACCGGACAAGGGGAGGGCCCCCTTGCTGCTCTGGGCCCGTCAAGAGCAGCGGCCCTGCCCCCTAGCCTTCCCACTCTGTCTGCACATGCAGCAGATGAGTCCTGGCCCAGGGCCCCAGCAGCTGTTTGCTGGGCACCGCAGGCCTCCACAGATGAGCCCTTGGAGCCCCTGCTCCCAGGAGCGTCCACTCAGCTTGGCCAGCAGACATCTGGCAAAGGCCTCAGCCCAGCCCCAGGGCTGTGAGGCAGGGTGGCTCCAATCCCCACCAGCCCATTTTGCCCAGCACTTTGTGCAGTGCACAAATCACGCAACTGTACAAGGCAGCTCTGTGCAGTGGAGGCTCATCCTCACTGGGCATCATGTGAATCCCTTCTGCAAATTTATTTTCATATCTGCTGCTTAAAGGATGATACGTTCCTGTAGTATGAAATTCAATGACACGCAAATCATCTGAGAAAAGTCGGGCTCCTCTCTGAAGACCACCTATCTCCTCAGAAATACTCTGCTGGGGGCTCTCGACCTCAGGATGACCAACACTTTGGGGCTGCATCCTCATGGGTCCAACAGACCCCCTGGTCTCCCCACACTCAACGCCCACAGCACCTGCTCTGCTCAAACTGTGACCATCAAAATGTCTCCAGACAGGCTGAGAACCACCTCTGCACATCACTGAGGAGTTAGGGACCTGTTTTCAATAAGAGATGCCCGAGAACACGTGTGGCACAAGCAGGAGCTGCTCCAGGCCCGTATCGATGGTGCAGTCCTCCCCCCATCACCTAGCTGGTCGCTGAGGTGCCCCCGCTCCCCCACATGCAGGCTGGGCTCCTGGGCACTCAGAGTGGCATGAGCCAGGGCTGGAAGGAGCTGGCCCAGGCCGGCACCAGCAGGGAGGCCGGCACCGTGGGGGGGTGGGGAGGCCGGCATCGGGGGAGGCGGACAGGGAAGGCAGCTGCGTGTCCAGGGCCCACACACCGACTTTCTTGCTGGCGGATGTCCCCTCCTGACGGTCTACCAGGGCCTAAGGGCCCCGTTTCTTGCCCTGTCCCCGTGAGGGGTGTGCCCCACTTGGGCCTCCTCGACTGCCAGCTCCCTGACCTTGGAGCCCTCCTTGTGGCCCATGTGGGGGTGAGCGCGAGGCACAGGGTTGGGCAGTGGCCAGAGAGCAAAGCCACAGGCCCAGACAGGCAAGGGGGCCACGGGCCACCCGTGTGGAACAAGAGCTCCCGGACACAATCACCGCGGCCCCAATAGGAGGGCAGAGCCACCGTCACCCAGGAAAAGTGGGTGGTGGGCAGGGCGGCCTGCTGGGGCCTTGGGGGACACGAGGGGCCCTCCGCTCACCTTTCTTTACACCCGGCAGTGGTATCACAACTCCATCCTCCACCCCAGCATCTTGATCAATTAGCGCCAGGTTGCCAAACTCCGTCATTTTCCTTCGGTTCAAAAACTCCTAGAAGGACAAAATCCCAGGTGTCCCGCCCATCAGGTGGAGGGCATGAGCCTGGCCCCCAGCCCCTGCCTGGCTCACGTGCCACAAACACCGGAGGAGAAACACCCACGGGACACGCGGATCCCGAGACAGCGACAAGCCCGTCCTCACCCCGTGCGAGAAGGAACCTGCCCTCAGAGCCTGCTGCAGGCGGGCTCGGGCCCCGCTGCCGCCTCCAGGGGGCTCGGACTCTGACGCAGCCCTCGCAAGGGCCCTCGTGAGCCTCAGAGGGGCCGGCATAACTGGGGGCGTCTGCTCGCTTAGCCTGCCCGTCCTCAGGGAAGCAGCGAGCACGCGTGCCCCCGGAGTCACTCAGGAGGGGGCAGGCCTCGCCCTGCAGCGGGGCCGGGGTGCATGGAGGGCAGGGCCAGGCCAGGCAGACCTGCATGCTCCCTCACCTCCATGGCGTCCAGGGAGAGGTTGCAGGAGATCTCAAACTTCTTCCTGAGGATCTGCTCCTTGACATGATAGATGCACACAAACTTGGACATCCCTCCCGCCAGGACGCTCTGGCCGTCCGCAGAGTAGCACAAAGTGGTGAAGGCCCTGAAGCAGAGAGGACACAAGGGTAGTCACCACCCAGAGCCCCCCAACGTGCGGTGCTCCCCCCGAGCCCCAGAAGGCAAACAGCGCCCCCAGCATCCTCGGCAGGGCTCCGGCCCGGGCCTCACAAGACGCTGTCACCTGCTCTGCTCCACGGCCACACAACCCCCAGGAGGGACCTCCCCAGAGACACGACCCTTTCACGGGAGGCCCACGTGGCTCAAGGGGCAGGGTTTCCTTGTCGAAACCAGAAGGACAAGGAGGGCACCTCGCCTGCCACAGTGCACAGTGGCCCCTGGCAGGGGTGCCGGCTCGGCCCCCTGCGAGCAGAAGCTGGGCACACACTGGCCCGGCTGCTCACGGGATGTGTGACAGCGTTACGTGCGACAACAAAGAGTGTGAACAGCAGAAGGAAACCAAACAAGAGTTCATCAAATCTGAACACGTTCATGCTCCAAAGACACCGACGACAATGAAAGGAGCCCTCAGGGCAGAAAGAGGGATTTCCACCTCCAGATCTGTCGAGCCTCGCCCATCTCGAATACACGAACTCTCACGACACCGCAGTAAAGACAAGCCAATTCTGGGAGCAGATGCCCCGGAAGGACCTTCTCCAGACCCCGCGTGCGAACGAGAAGACGCTGGACGGCGCCAGCCTTCAGGAACCGAGGCAGAACCTCGCACACACAGCGCCTCACACCCGGCCCCAGAGGGCTGTCGTTTAAACGCCACGCAGGAACAGGTCCTGCTGGTGTGTGGGGAAGCAGCCCCTGTGGGTGGCGCAGCCACTTTGAAAAACGCTCCAGTTCCTCACAGAAGCGAACCCTGGAACCTCCAAGACATACACACCCCGAAAGACGTGAGAACAGATGTGCTCACAGACGCTGGTCCCTACCCACTCCCAAAGCCCAAGTGGCGTGAGGACACAGAGGCCGACTAATCACACACCGATGCAGGCTCCGTGCCCCCCCCGGGGGAAGAGCCCCGTGATCGCACAGGCCCCCAGGCTTCGGGGCAGGACCCACCGCACCCACTCGCTGACGCACTCACTTCCCCTTGGCTGAGTGCTTGGCGGTGACCTTATCCAGCTCCTTCCTGCCCGTCTTGAGGTCATGCCTGCCCTCGATGGAGCCCGTCTGCACGGCGTTCTCAGGGTCCCAAAAGGTGATCTGGGAGTTCAGGGTGGCCACAGCCAGCTCCGCACCGTCAGGGCGAAAGGTCACAGCCAGAGCTGAAAAGAGACGCATCATCAGGGCCAGAAGAAGAGCCGAGGCTCCAGCAGGCGGCCGCACCCCCCGTGCCCTCACCCAACCTCAAGCCAGAAAAGCCAGGCAGGCCCCAGCACCCCGAGTCAGCACCCGACGGGTGGCGGCCCCCGGCTCTCCCCAGAGAAGCTCCACCCCCAGGCCCCAGCCACCTCGGGGGGGGGGGGCCGGGGCAAGAGGGTCCAGGTGGGGTCCCGGGACAGGCACAAGGCCAGCCTGCTGGGAGGGCATGGGCAAGAGACAAGGCCGGGCAGGGGGGAGGCACCCAGAGGTCACGAGAGGTGCTTCTGACAGAGCCGCAGAACAGACTAGAAACCGACTAGCTAGAGGCCCCGCAGAGACCCAGGCTGTCCACCGGCTGCTAAAAGCACGTCCCAGAGCCGGGTGGGGCAGACAAGCAACGACACCGTGGAGGCCCGCGGACCCCAGGGGCCCACGAACCACACGTGAGGGTGTGCGGGGCAGGACGGCTTCACCCACACACACAGATGCTGGGACCCCAGGTGGCCTCCTGCGCCTACAGTCGCCTCGGGGTCCTCCCCAAGGCTTGGCCTGACAGAGCACCGGCTGCTCCTCAAGGACGGCGGCTCAGGAGGGAGCGCCCGGCTCGCTCTCCTAGAGAGGAGCCCGACGCCGAGAGACAGAACAGGGCCACCAAGGTGGGTGGATGAGGCTCCCTCCCCGGGTGACACCTTGTACCCGCGTCCCCCGTGCACCCACCGTCCGAGGTCAGGCCCAGCGTCTCCGTGGTCCTCCAGCTGTCCGCCATGTCCCACAGGCGCACAGTCCTGTCCCAGGAGGCACTGGCCAGAACCGACCTCACGGGGTTAAAGCACAGACTGCTGACAGGGCCCTCGTGACCAGACAGGACCTACGGCGCCCAGAGAGAGGTGTGAAGAGACAGCCTCGGGGACCGTGCGCGTACTAGGCCCGCGCACCGAGGCTGCGGGACAGGCGGGCTGACGGGTCTGTCAGCGCAGGAGGGGAGGAGCCGCGGCCACAACACGCTGCTGCTCGGCCCCTCGGGTCCGCAGAGGTGCCCTCCCGCGTGGGGCTGTGCCCCCCCCAGCCCCCAACACGCAGCCCTTACGTCCAGGAGCCTGCCTGTCTGCATGGACCAGATGAAGACCTCGAAGGAGTCCTGGGCGCCGGCAGAAACGACCTCCCCGCTGCAGTCCACAGCCACGCAGGAGAACTGGGTGGGCCGCGGGGACGTGAAGGTGCGGAAGTTCCGGTACCTGCCGGAAGACAGCAGTCTGGCTGGCACAGCTCACAAAGCCCCGAGGGCTCGGGTTTGCCCTGAGCCTGTCTATACCACGCGCTTCCTGGCAAGCCCACGACCCCTCAGCCCCACTATCACAGCCCACCCAGAGGACTGAGTGGGAAGGTCACCTGTGAAGGTCAAAGGCACGCACAGTCCCGTCCATGGAAGAGCTCACGATGACATAGCCAGTGGCCGTGAAGGTCACGCCAGTGACCCCACTCGAGTGCTCCGTGAACGTGACGAAGCAGAACCCGCTGAAGGTGTTCCACACCTTGACCTGCAACGGGAAGGGCATGAGGAGTGGGGCTGGCCACAACTCAGGAAGGCGCGTGCACACACGGGTCGCCCCAACCAGGGCCCCCCCCAGACGTGCACACACCTGCCCCTCAGCCCCACGGCCCCGCCAGCCCCTCGCCAGCTGGGATACCGCAAGGCGCAGCAAACATGCGCCCACAAGACGCGGCTGCCCCCACGCACCAACCCACAGCCGAGAGGCTGCATGCATGCAGGCCGAGCCGGGAACAGAGAAACCTACGGCCCGCCCTCCCCACCCTGCTCCAGGTAGTCTGTGAACATCTTCTCACGAGCCCGGACGCAGCAGAGCGAGCCCGTGGGCCCCAGGCGGAACCCCGGAGTCGGGGCCTGGCTCTCCCTCCCTGGGGCGCAGCAGGACGACACGCCGTGCCCCCCCCAGCCCAGGCCCCAGCCCTTGCCGCCCGCCGAGCCCCACCTTGCCGTCATCGCTGCCGGTGACGATGCACTGCCCGTCGGGGGAGTAGGCCAGGGACGCCATGCTGTTGAAATGGCCCTGCTGCTTGAGCACGTAGGACTCACTCTGCCACTCCCACACCAGCAGCTGGCCCAGGCCTGCAGGGCACACGGGGCACTGGCACCCTGGCCTCAGACCCCGCAAGGCCAGCGCCCCCACCACCCTGAGAGCGGGCACCCCCCAGACTCCGACCTCCCGAGTCACGGTCCCGCAGGCACCTGCTGCGGCCCCCAGAGGCCCAGAGCACAGGCCCCGCGGCCGACCGAGCCGGGGGCTCAGGCTACAAGGCGGTCGCACCTCAGAGGAGCGCCGGTTCTGCGCGCCCACGGCTCCCTCCCACAGGACCCACTGTGCTTGCTCGCACCGGGCCGTGGGAGGGGCTTCTCCCGGGAGCTGGCGGGCCAGGGGGGGCCACGGTCAGCGGTCGGAGAGCAGCTCTATTCTCGTTCTCCTACGACCCCGCGCTGAGACGAACCTGAGCAGCCAAAAGCGATCCAGTCTCCGGAGCCGTTGACAGCGATGGAAGCGATCCTCTGATCAGAGATGCTGCGCGGGAGAGCACGCCGTCTGAAAGGCGGGCAGGCGGCACCACGAGCCCCTCTGTCCACCACCCGCCTGGCCATTCCACGGCCCTCACCCCGCAGCGGGACACACAGGGCGCAGCCCAACACTGCCCGCCATCGGCCTGTGGGGTCAGCGAGCACACGCGGGCCCCCCCCGGCACCGGGTGGGGCGCTCACCTCAGGGAGTGGATGAGGTTGAACTCGGGGAGCTCGTGAAGGTGGAAGATCCCAGAGGCAAAGCCAGTGACCAAGAGGTGGGTCTTCTTGTGAAACGCCGCGGCTGTCAGGTTGTTAAAATCTCCCTCTTTATTGAAAAAGTACCTAAGCAGGTGGGAAATCAGAAGAGCTGTGGACAGAGCGCCAGACAGCCAGGCTGATCTCAGCCTGCACCCAGCCCCCCCGGGACCCCCAGGCCATAGGCCACGGGCCCCGGCTCTACACAGGACCCGCGGCCCTGCTGCCCTGGCCTCTCATTCCCTCTCGCCTCACCCTGGGCCTCCATGACCCTGCACCTGGGACGGGAGGCGGTCTCCCAGCCTGCCCCCCAGGACGGGCCTGCTCTCTCCGCCTCCGCGTCACGTTAGCCTCGAGGGTGCGAGGCCCCCGCCACCCCCGGGGGGACACCTACTTGGCCAGCCGAGAGTATTTCACTTTTCCCTGCTGCTCCTCGGCAGCCGGCGTGGCTTTCCCCCGGACGGTGGTCTCCTCCTCCTCCTCCTCCTCCTCCTCCTCGGCCCCCTGCAGCAGCTCCGCCTTCCAGCCCGTGGGGGCTTTCAGCCGCAGGCCCTCGGGGGGCGTGTCACACTGCCACACACACAGGGCTCCGTCCTGGCTGAGCGTGTACAGCTGTAAAAGAAAGTGTCTGCGACTGGGGGCGGGTCACCCTGACACCAGCCCCCACCAGCCACGCGGCCGACCCACGGTCTTAGCTTCCCCCGTCCCACCACAGCCTGCCCCGAGCGCTGGCAGAGGCGATGCCCAAGGGACAGCCAACAGCTGCCGCTGCTTCCTAAACACCCCCAGGTAACTTGGGAGGGCGCCTGTGTCTACAGGGGGAGGCCTGGCGCGTGGCTGCGATCTGGGATGCCACCGGGCAAGTGAGACGCTGCAGACACAGGGACATACGTCTAGGCTGCTGGATTCGAAGAAGCAGGCCACGATCACGTCCTTGTGTCCCCCCAGCGCGTAGTAGATGAGGTTGTCCCAGCGCTCAGCTCCAAACACCCACGTGGACATGTCTTTGCTCCCGACCGCAAAGCACCTGGCAGAGAAGACAGGGAGCGTCCTCAGGGCTCACGGTGGAGTGCCAGCCAAGCACACGGGAGTCGCCCAGGGTTGGACCAGCCCGGGTCTGCCCGGCCTGCATCTCCCGCCGAGCGTCGGCTGCATCCATCCGTGTTGCTCAGGGAATGAGTCACTATCCCTCCTCACAAAGCAGTCCCTCACGGGACGGCAGCCCAGGGGAGCCCTGAGAGCCGACCACCAAGCCCATCGGTGCCACATGGGGAGCCCTGCTCCTCACGCCTCCCTGATTCCCTATGACCCCTATCTGAGGGAACCCTGCTTACGGCACAAACACGGCCAGACACAGGAATAGGTGGCGCCTCGCTGAAGAGGCGGGAAGGCTTGGCGGCAGGGCACCCCACTCCCGCCCCCGGGGTGGTCCGCTGTACAAACCCGCACCGACCACCAGCCCCCACCTCTCCCTGCGCAGACTGCGGGCAGCTGAGCACGAGCCAGCAGCCTTTCAGGGCGGTGAGGGGTGCAGCCGTAAGAGGACGGGGCCGGCCCCCCTGCTGGGAGAAGCCCCCACCCCCCAATGGACACAGCTGCTCTGGACATTTGGCGGAATGGATTCTAGCACCCTCGTCAAGCTCCCGACCCCGCGCTCTGGTTTCCCACGACAGATGCCAGGCTGGTGCAGGCCCAACTCACAACCAGGAGCCCAAATGGCCTCCAGCCCCACAGGACGCTCAAGAGAGACCACCACAAAAGGCAACTTTGGGATTCGACAAGAATTTCCAAGGCTCCCCATCCAACAAGAGGCTGGTTACAGGGGCTCCCCCCCGGCCCCGCCCCCGGGCCTTACCTGGAGTCGTCGGTCCAGTCGATGCACGTGGTCTCATCGTACGGCCCAAAGTAACTTTTGTCCAGGACGAACGCGTTGAATTCCCGCTTCCTCCCAGGGGCATGGTACATCTGAGCGATGTTGCCTTTTGTGACGACGAACTTCCTGCCGCAGAAACGGGGGCCATCAGGATCCAACACCCGCGCAGTCCCTAGACCAGCTCAGAGCCTCTGAGGACAGCGCCCCTGCCGGGAGCAGCTTCCTATGAGAGGCGAACGTGGGGGCCAGCCTCTCCATGGCCCCCGACCCCTGTCTTCTCCTGCAGGGACCCTGAACCCAGCCGCCCCACTGCCATGGAGCTCAGACGCCCCCGGCACTCCCGCCAGCCTGGGGGACAGCCGTCAAGGCCAGGCCCCACTTGGACAGCCCTGGGGGAGCTGGAAGGACAACACAGGTTCCACACAACGGGCGCAGAAGATGGCCACTGCCTTCTACGGGGTTTCTGAGGCTGGACGTGGGATGGGGGCTCACAGCTGAAACCCAGAGCCGCCCCGTCCACGGCACATCCAGGTCAGCCTGAGTATGAGCAACCCGGGAACGAGCCCCCCTCTCTCCTGGGGCCCTTGAACCCGAAGCAAGGCTGGGTCCGGTCAGGACCCCGTCCGCACACATTCTCCTCACTGTGGACCTCGAAGCTGGGGGTCAGTGCCACTCAGAGCCAGGGGCTCCTTTGTGGCTCTGTTGTCTGGAGGCCACAAGACCCTCTAAGGACCCTGACTGTTCTGGAAGCGGTTTTGGTCGAGAACCTTTAGAAGCTCCCACTCAAGACGGGAGCACCAGCCCCAGCAGAGGGGAGCAGAGGTTGCGGCCACGTGGGCCTGCAGGAGCCCAGAGTCCACACCGACAGACTGTCCCCAGCCCAGAGAGGGCATGAGCACAGACTCCGTCGCCGACACCTCCGCTCGGAAGAGCCCCCGAGCCCTGCTGCGCCCATCATGGAGCCTGGGCTCGGACAGCGCCCTGCCCCAAGCTCCAGGCCCCTACCTGCCATCAGGAGAGAAGGAGACACTGTGCACCGAGCCCTTGAAGTGGAAGTGGTGAAGCACGGACCTGCACACCAAGCTGACCAGCAGCGCGTCCCCCCCTGCAGCGAGGGAGAGAGGCCAATGTGTAGTCGCCCCAGACAGGACGGCCACGGCCCAGCCCGGCACCACAGCCGGGCACGTCCACATCCGCCACACATGCCCTCACCCCAAAGCCCACTAGGGTCCCAGGCAAGGAAGCAACTGGGGGAGAGGACTGGGGGGCCTAGATCCCCAGAGGGACTTGGTGTTGGCCTTGAGTCACCATAACCCCTGCCCTGCCTGTCCCCCCAGCTGTTTGCACTGCAGCCTCCCGGTCGAGGGTGCCTACCTTCATCGACGATGATGGCCAGGCGGCCGTCTGGGGACAGCCCTACACACCTGATGTTGTACCGAGTAGCCAAGGGCAGAGTGTTGGATTTGTTGCTAAAAGACAAAAACCACAGCTGTGTAGCTGGTCGCAGTCGTAAGACGAGGAAGGGGCGGCCTCGGGCCACCAACCCCTTACTCGCCTTCTGTCCCTGGCCAGCTCCAGGGCCAGAGCACACAGCTCGTCCCCAGCTCCCTGCTGGAGAAGAGGAAATAAGACCAGGTCCCTGGAGAAAATTTGGCAAAGCATATTCAAAACCTTAAAAATGGGCTTTGGTTTGCGGCGTCTGGTGGCTCAGTCGGCTGAGTGTCCGACTTTTGATTTTGGCTCAAGTTGTGAACTCCGGGTCATGGAATGGAGCCCTGGGTCAGGCTCCATGCTCAGTGAGGAGTCTGCCTGAGGTTCTCTCTCCTTCTCCCTCTGCCCCCGCCCACACGCATGTGCACACACGCTCTCTCACACAAAAAAAGTAAATAAAAGGGGGGCTTTGGTTGTCCATTTTGTTGTAGAAGTGCGTCCCAAGAGGATTCCACAAATGTTACGAAGTCCCCACTGAAAATGAGCTAAATGTTCAACAGAAGGAATTAACCATAAGAACTGCACAACCCTGTAAAACTGTCCTTACGAGATGGGAAAATGCGCAAAAATGGGAAAATAAGTAATATGAAAAACAAGCAACCGTTGGCTCGGATTCTGACTTTGTTCCTTATTATTTTACTTCCTAGTTTTCCTTCACCGAGCGTGTGGTCCTTACTCCAGGCCCGTGACAATCTCGCCTGCTGGCCCAGGGTACCCCACCCAGGCACTGCTCTCGGGAGCTTCAGGAAATAAGTCCCGGAGAGGATGGGGCCCATTGTCCCACTGTACAGACACGGAGGCAGAACCTGCAGAGCAGGACGCAAATCCAGGCAGCCACGGCGACAGGAGGTTCTCACCCTGGCCACGTGACTCTGGGAAGGGGTGACAACCGTTCAGGAGTCCTGCCCCTTGAGGAGAAAGGAACAGAGCCACAGGCTCGTCTGGGAGGAGAGCGAAACTGGCAAGCAGAACTGGGCTGCACTGAGCACCACGGTGGCCCAGCAGGGGTCCAGGGCAGCCTCCAGACCCAGTACCTAGGTGACCGAGACCCCAGGGCTTAGCCAAGGGACTAGAGCAAACCAGTCCCACTACTGACCCAGCTGCTCTAAGTAACGGGGAGGTGGAGGGGGGCACTAGGAAGGGGAAGAGGAGGGAGAAAGGTCAGCGTTTGCCCACACGCTGTAACAGTAACAGCGACTGTAACACACTCCTGTTAGTCGTCTCAACACACTTACTTTTTAAGGTCAAATACAGTGACTCTATTTCCCACAGGACTGATCACTGAATTTCCATCGCACGTAAAATTCAAATTTCCACACCGATAGACTGTCCCCAGCAAATTTGAGAACTGAAAAGGAAATAATCCATCTTAATACAACGAAAGCCCAGAATGTCTCAACTCCAGGAAAGGCTAAGTGAGGCCTCTGGTCCAGGAGACGGCACAGAGCCCCCTCCTCTCAGGCCCCTGGCCATTCCTGGGGTCCCTCCTGGGAGACTTCCTGGCCACCTATGCAGTCCAGGCTGGAGTGAGAGAGAAAAAGGGTAAGTGAGCCCAATCCCCAGGGGCTCCAAGCCCCCAAAGAAGAGGGTGAGGGCCACTGTGAGCATCTGGGGGGCTTCCATACACAGAAGGGGACCCACGTTGCAGAGGGAGAAAACCTGGAGCAAAGAACAGCACTCCCCCAGCATCTTGGGCTCAACGCTTCCCCAACAAAGTAACCTGCCGGAGTCCAATCCATGAATTCATCAGTTCGTTCAGTCATCAGACTGAAGGGTGCACTAGAGATGTCACTGTGCCCAGGGTCTGTGCCCTCGATGCCCTCCTATTCTACACAGGGCAGGCAGGGCAGGGAAGAGCTAATTACAGAGTGTGTGCAGTGCTTGGAAGACTGCATGAGAAGGGAGATGGTTCGGAGGTGGGTCAGGGACAGACCCTTGGAGGGCCACCCAGACCGGACCCTAGACGAAGGAGTGGGCAGGGCCAGCGTCTGGAGCTGCAGGAGGGCACGGGGAGAAGCCTGGCCAGCTGACAAGGCTGTAAGCAGAGGCCTGCTGTGATCGATTCCCGTGTTTTCAGACCATGTTAATGACCGTGGGGACAACAGGGGAAGCAGGCAGAGAGCTAGGTGACGGCGTCCCGAACAGGCAGGTGGCCCCCGGAACGGAGAGGAGCCGGATACGGGAGGGCGGAGGGCGGCCACCCCTCCGCGGAGGGCGGCTCCAGGTTTGGGTCTCGGGGTAAGTGCGGGTGGCGCTGAAGAAGGCCCGCACTGTGGCCAGCGCCAGACCGAGCCGGAGACAGCAGGGACAGGGACGCGGCGTCAACCTCCAGCGTCCCGCCCAGCGGGCGGCCGAGGGACCTGCCCGCGGAGGAAGATGAAGGCAGGCTCCCCGGCATGGAGCCGGGAACGGGGCCTTGAAGCCCGCGCGGGCCCGCCGCTGGTCACCCCGCCGGGGCTCCGTTCTCTCCCGCCCACACCTGAGGCCTGAGGCCCGGGACCCTCTCCTTGCCGTCCGGGGATCGCCGCGCACGGCCCCGAGGCCAGCCGCGCGGGTTCCAGGCTGACAGTGCGGCCCGGCGCGCGCGCGGCCAAGCCCCGCTCTCCGACCCGCCTCCGCTCCCCGACCCGCCTCCGCTCCCCAGACCCTGCGCCGCGGACCCCCCCGCCCCGCACGGGCTCACCCGGTACGCGAACTTCATCGCGGCCGCCGCACGTGCGCCACCGCGCAGCCGCCGCGCCCCGCCCGTCGGCCCCAAGGACGCACTTCCGGGACTGGCGGCCACCGCGCACCACAGCGCCCCCAGGAGCCCCGGAGGGGCGGTGCCGCCCGAGGCGGAGCCCAGCCTGCAGACCCCGCCCCCACTGCACCCCGAGGCGGAGCCCAGAACCCAGGCCACGCCCACGACCCCCTCCCTGGGGCGGAGCCCAGACCGTGGGCCTCGCCCCCACCGCGCCTCGAGGCAGAACCCAGCCCCGCGGGCCACGCCCCCACCGCATCCTGAAGCGGAGCCCAGCCCTTAGACCCCGCCCCCTACAGCGCCCTGAGACGGATCCTGGACCGCGGCCTCTCCCCCACCGCGTCCGGAGGCGGAGCCATACCCGTGGCCGCGCACCCGCCTGACCCAGCAAGGCCGGGGCTCCCGTCCTATTGGGCGGGGCTGCCGCCGCCGCCGCCGCCGCCGCCGCTCAGAAGGTTCACGCCCTGAGTGGGTGAGACAGTCGGGCTTCGCCTTCACTTAATAGCTCTGCATTATGAACGGGGCGGGGGGGAGCGGGTAAAACCAAGGAAACGCCGAAGAAGCTGAAGAAATTGTATTAGAGATGCTACCAAACGTCACAGACACAGTTAATTTGTCAAGCTATGTCTGCAAAAAAATACCCCAAGCCCTGAAGACAAATGTCTTTGTTCCTGTGGGCTACTGGGTGATGAATTATGAAAAAAAATCCCTAATGCTCCCCACAAAGTAAATAATCTGTGTTATTGGTCAGGAACAAGGATTAGGGAGAGAAGACAAGAAAATTCTTTAACTTTACACACTCAACTTTCATGCTCCTCAGCAAAAGAATGAAATTCAAAACAGCAAAGTTTCTTCTTAAAATGTGTATTTTCAGAATTATAATGCTTACATTTTAAAGTCTTAATACAATGGTTTTAGTCTAACAATATATTACAGAATGTGAAAAATGACTCTCATAGTAAACCATGAAAATGGAATTAATACCTGCAGTGTCAAAGTCACCAACTTGCCACCTTTTCCAGTCACAGAATCCCAGCAAATTGTATTAACCATACTCTCGGGTCTTGTAGCCTGACATAGATGATGAATAAATTTAGAGAAAGGGGCACTTTCATGAAAAATCAAATTCCAAAATCACGGATTTATTTTAAAGATCACAGTTGACAGCAAAACATTGAGATCAGCGTAGTTTGTTCTTTAAAAAGTAGTATAACTTTTCATTTTATGTTCACATCTGGAGTGTTTCTTTGATTTGATTTTATAACTCAATCTTATTTTAAACACTAAAGAAAAACTGAATAGAAGCCTGTGTGTATTGTCTCTGCTAACTACGGGATATCAACCAAGACTTACTAGGACAGGAATCCAACCCACGACCGGCTGTGCTGACAACGGACTGTAGGTAAAAGTCATTTTCAGATTAATACAACAATTTCCACATTAGAATCAGCAGTTACAATTTTTCCAATCATAGGAAACCCCATGAAATTCACCAAAATTATAACTTATTTCCTTTTCCATTTGCTAGTATTTACATGTTCCACAATATGTGTAAAACGGTTGCATATTCTGCTTTTTAGATGCACATTCTATATCCAGCTTCACAATTATTTAACAGGGGCTACATCTTTATTAACAAAACCAGCTTGTCTCAAACACATAAGCCTTATTTTATTTTAGACAACAAAAATCCAAGTACTGCTTTAAAAAAAAAAAAAGATGAAGTTTTAGGTGACATTTTTCCTTTGTGTAGAACGAAACAAAATAAAATAGGGGCACCCATGTAACTTAGATTGCAAAAGATCTTTTGGGTAATTGGAGGGGGGGACCAAACCTGCAATGAATTTGATTTCATACAAATTGAAAACAGTAAGAAACCACCATGAACATTTTGGATTTCTCCTTCATTTTTTCCCTCTAAGTATATTATGTAACTAGAGAATTTCATCCTGGGATTAGAACCCAGAAACAAAAAATCAAACAGAGGTAAGGTAACCATTGAATCACACCCCCACCCCCTTCCAGAGGGTGAGAGGGAAAAGCCACATTATACACAGTGTGAGGCTTTTCTGACAGAATCAAATCTCAAAGATCTCTTCATTCACAGGGCTTGGCAGATCTGTAGGGCAATCACCAATTTTTACAATAAGACAAAACTTATTTTAGAAACCCTAAACTATCTATCATTAGATTCTGAAGTTCTAATTTGCCTAACTAGTTGACTAATAAACTTACTAGTTTTAAAGTGCACCTAAGGAAGATCATTTTCTGAAAAGTTTAATTAAACACACCAGTATTGATCTTCTTTACACATTTCCAATTTCTGTAAATGGTAAAGACATGGGGCAGGGTGGGGAGAATGACACCACGTTATTTTTTGGGTGAGTGGAAAGACAACACAGAGAAGCGTGGACACAACTGCTCTGCTCTAGTTTCTCCGAGCTGTCCCTTGACCCCTGCTCCCCGCCACGCGGCCGCACCAGCCTCTCTCCCACAGGTGACCAGCAGGACCAGCAGCGCTGCAAAGGCTCCTTTCCTCTGGGGCTCACATGCTTGAGGGTATTCCCGTGAGGCCGCACCCTCTGCTGGACCTGACTACACTCGCTTGCATCAGTCCAGTCAGCTCGATTCCAACCACACTTTCCCAGGGAAGTAAGAGTTCTCTATTTCTTATGTACAAAAATACATTGCTTTGGAGAGCTGGAAAAGGCTGCATACACCCAACACTTATTTACAAGCTGTGACTCTCACACCAGTAAAAACAAACACACATTTATTTTGTCCTTGATTTTTGGTGCAACTTATACATAAACATTACATCAGTTAGTCTGTACTTTTAAAAATAATAAATCAACCATATGTACAATTAAATTTACAACCGAAAGCAAATTAATCCATTGGTATGGTATGACTGCAATTTTAGTGGACCAGCAGAGAATATTCCAAGACTTTCGTCCTTCCCACAACCAAACTAGAAGCACACGGAGAGGGCCCCCCACCAGTCTCCCCTGAAATGGAGCCTCTTAATCTCTAGGACTTAAGGTGCAGAAGAAACATACTGATTATACAGTGACAATGACATGTCAAGACTTTAAAGGTGAGAAGAAAACAACATATCAACCCCCACATATATAATGATAATTAAAATAAATACATATTTCAAGTGCATATTGACATTCAGTCAACATCATGGGGAACAGGGGTTCCAGAAAGATTTGTTCCTAAACTATTTCAATGCCAAGTTGTCCCTTAGGCCCTGGTCTAATCTTCCCAAAGTACCTTTAAGATGGCTCCAGCTAATGGAGGCTCCAGGTCCACCCAGTGTGACACCCCAAGGCACAGAAAGGGTTCTGTTCCCTCCCCACCCAGCCCTCCGCCTCACTGAGCTGCCCTAACAGGGTGTTAGTCTAGAAAAGCACTACTCCTCTCAGGTAAAAAATGGTGTTTTATCCCCCAAGAGACTCACAAATCCACCTGGTCAAGAATCTAGAGGGCAGCCGTGTGAGCAGGAAGGCACACACGTGTGACGACTAAGATGGCAGGGTCTGCCATGTGTCTCCCTGGAAGGCACACGGACTCCATACGGAACCAGCAGACGGGGAGGCGGCCAGGTGAGGGGGCACAGTGCGGATCTTCCGGGAGCAGGGAAGGGGCGATGGAAGGGAGTGGGGCTCTGGGCGGACACCGGAGGACGCCAGCACAAACACAGGGATGGGGAGATGAGAGTAACAAGTCATCTTACACCACGGACAACACAAAAAAAAACGCAGTAACTCAGCCGACCGGCCACACGCTGAAATTCTCCGATGTTTCTGTGGGCAGGCAGAACCACCGAAAGTCTGGTTAGTGCTAGAATGTTGCAATGGAGAGAGCAATGAAGCCAGGATCCCTTCAAGTGCGTTCACACCAGGCCTAGGGCGTGTGCTGACCCGAGGCACGGTCATGTGACGCTGACTTCAAGGACATGGTCATCTTTGCTGGGGATGACCAGGACCTGCATGCCCGTGCTGGAGTTGAAGACCTGGCCGGGCGGCAGCGCCTGCAGCCGCGGCATGGGCAAGCCTTTGGGCTCGCTGCTGGAGGCCGAGTGCACGCTGCCCCTGCTCTTGATGCTGCTGCTGTCCAGCTGCTCATCCACGTGCTTGTCCACCGACAGGCTGTCGTTCTCTATCCAGCTATCTGCAAAGTGTACAGGAAGTGAGACACGGCCCACCGACTCGGACCTGTTACCTACCCCAGGGAGCAGCGAGCCACCCGAGCGACCTTCAGAGCACGAGAATGAGTGAGGTGGCCCCTTTAAGGAGAATCTAGCGCATGGGCCCTCAGAGGACCCGTGGAGGCTTCGGAGCAGGTGCCGACAACTTGCAACCCCACCAGCACCAAACACACGCCGCCGATCAGCAAGCCCGGTCCCTACGAGGCGGCGTTACCACCTCCCCGCATGGAGCTCTCACTCACTGAGACCGTGAGTGCACCCTTCATCTCCCAGAGTCCTTACCAGCATCCAGTTGTGAGGAGTGTGCAGAGTGATGGGGGAGGTATTTAAACAGCCTGACGTCGGGAAGGGGGAGGTAGCCCGCGAAGAGGGGCATCACCTCCATGTGGACCCGGTGAGTGGCCTGGGCGACCACAGGCATGGAGATGACACCAGAGCTCTTCCCACACACTGCCCAGTTGCTACTGTTGTCGACCACTGGAACAGAGGGAGAGCACTGCTTTACCCCGGGAAGGGCATTCGGTGTTCACAGCAAATAGAGTCATCAAGAGTCCCGCACGCCAGCGTGCAAACCCGAAACCGGATACACTCTATACCGCACTCACTGTCTTGTAACTGACCTCAATGGGGAAACAGAATGGTTTAATGACACAGTGCATCTGACAGGCATAGGGAAAATCACTTTTTTCTCCTCAAGTCAATAAATCAACAGGGATTCAATTGTACTCAAAACCTTTGTGTCAGGCTTCCAGAGTACAGGGGCTCTGGCTGTGAAATTTGCAATGGGGGCGGAACAGGGTGGCGGTCCCC